TTCCTGGAACTACCGAGAAAACATCCCTATTTCTTCTGATGAAGTCTCTGACCTCTTGCTTTTGATGTACAGACAGAGTCTCAGATACGTTCACTTCTGGCTCTAATATAGGAGGTTCTGAAGTTTTTAAAGCAACCAGGACCTCCCTGTCCTTCCATGGCTTTAACAGATTTATATGATACAACTGTTCAGGCTTTCTTCTTCCTGGTTGTCTGACTTTATAATTGACATCACTCACTTTCTCTATTATTTCATAGGGTCCATGCCAAGTCGCAAGGAACTTATTCTCCACAGTAGGGACCAGAACCAATACCCTGTCTCCAGGTTGGAACACTCTGACTCTAGCATTATGGTTATAGCTGTTTTTCTGAGCCTGCTGGGCTTCCAGCATGTGTTCCCTGACAATAGGCATGATGGTGGCCATTCTATCCTGCATTTGAGCTATATGCTCAATTACACTCCTGTGAGGAGTAGTCTCCTGTTCCCAGGTCTCCTTAGCAATATCCAATATTCCCCTGGGATGTCTTCCGTATAACAATTCAAAAGGAGAGAAGCCCGTGGAGGCCTGTGGAACTTCCCTAATAGAAAACAGTAGATATGGCAATAAAAAATCCCAATTTCTTCCATCAGCATCAATTACCTTGCGTAGCATACTCTTAAGGGTTTTGTTGAACCTCTCTACTAAACCATCAGTCTGTGGGTGATATACTGAGGTCTTAAGATGTTTAACCTGCAAGAGCCTGCACAACTCTTTTGTGACTTTGGACATGAACGGGGTCCCCTGGTCTGTCAGGATTTCTTTAGGGATACCCACCCTACTGAACATCAACATAAGTTCCTTAGCTATTAACTTTGCAGAAGTATTACGCAAGGGAATGGCCTCAGGGTAACGAGTTGCATAGTCCAAGATGACTAATATATATTGGTGTCCTCTAGCAGACTTTACCAGTGGCCCCACTAAGTCCATAGCAATCCTTTCAAAAGGTACATCAATTATGGGTAAGGGTACAAGTGGACTACGAAAAGTCTTGAAAGGAGCCCTGTATTGGCACTCTGGACAAGAGGAGCAATAGTTTGTAATAGCAGCAAACACTCCAGGCCAGTAAAACCTTCTAAGGACTCTCTCTCTAGTTTTTTCAACTCCCAAATGTCCCCCTAATATGTGGCTGTGAGCCAAC